GCCTCGTAACTGCGCGGCGGACGAAGTGTAGGGTGTCCCCCCACTAGATGGGGTGACGACCTGGTAAGACATACAAGAAGTCGATGGATGCAGGTGGCTCAGGACCGTACTTTGTGGCATTCCTTGGGGGAGGCCTATGTTCAGCAGTGGACTTGTGAAGGGCTGTAATGATGATGATAAATCCCTGAGTGATCGCTACTTTTGTGTAGTTAATTGTGTAACATAATATATGATTGCAAACTGTTTTCTAAAATGTCCCGCTGGATTTCTTGCTAGTTCTTCCCAGGACAGTTTTTTGCAAACCAGTGGATTTTCAATGGCTATAATTTACGATCTATCTATATAAATAAATAAAATTGAAGTGTCTGTTTGTAATGTCAAAATAACAGCTTTTTATTAAATGCATATGCAAGGGTATACGGTACTTATAACAAAAACACACTTTTTAAAATGTTTGTCTGTTTGTCTGTCTGTTTGTTCCGGCTAATCTCTGAAACGGCTGGACCGATTTTGACGGGACTTTCACTGCCAGATAGGTGATGTTATAAGGAGTAACTTAAGCTACTTTAATTTTAGAAAAATAATTAGGGTTCCGCGCAAAAAATTAAAACGAAGAAGTAAATTCCACGCGGGCGAAGTCGCGAGGGACAGCTAGTATTGAATAAATACTTATTTATTTATTTAATATTCTTTATTGCACACCATACATAAATTACAGAAATTCTATATATAAAAGAAGTATGCAATGGGCGGTCTTATTGCTGATAGCAATTTCTTCCAGACAACCAATGAATGGACAGGATTGCACGAATATGACAAGGGCAGGGCAAATTGGTGTGTTAGAGAAAAAAAGAGATAAAAAAGAATAAACACATATATATACTATACATACACATACTATAAACATATAGATATACATACAAAAAAAATATATATATATTGAATTATTTAATTAATTAAATGAAATTGATATGATACATATAATATATTATTTAATGGCTAGTGTGGAAGTGAAGTTATAATTTAAAGAGCGAGGTAGTGATTCTTAACTAGTTTTTTAAATACCGGTAGGGATGGTGCGCGTTTTACTGACAATGGGAGTTCATTCCATAAATGAACGGCCTGCACAGTAAAAGACTTGTTCATAAATTTTCTAGTGTATAGTGGCAAATTCAACCTCAAACTCTCTGCTGATCTCAAGTTACGCGAATGGGAATCATGAAGAAACTCAAAACGATTTTTGAGGTAAGAAGGGTAAGAAGGATTAAAGAGAACACTATAGAGAAGATGAAGTATGTGAGCATTCCGATGAAGTCGTATTGGCAACCACTTGAGCTTAGTACGAAAAAAAGATACATGGTCATATTTGCGCAATTATTTCCAAATATAAACCTTATGCAAAAATTCTGAATTCGCTCAAGTTTATCGAGGTGAGCTTCGGTGAGATCTAGATAGCTGACGTCTGCGTAGTCAAAAATAAATACGTTTCTATTTCTATTCCAACTGCCTGCATATCTTTCGGAAATGTCCTCGAATGGCAGGCGGCTTTGTACTGCAAGGGAGGTCGACAGGGAAAATATTTCTTCTCCGTCGGTTTGAAATTCTAACTATGGCCCATGTATTTTCACTTCTTAGCGAGATTCCTGTACTATGGGGAACTAAAACTCGCTAAATGACTATGCTGTGTGAGCTTTCTCATACTGAGAATTGTTATCTTTGGCGGACAGGCGGACACTGAGTACGGTTGTTTAGATTTGATTTAAAATTCTCATCGAAGTACTTATACCGTCGTAATTTTCTTAAAGATACTCTGCCAAAATAGTGTTGTGAATTGATTGATTGATTCTATAGTTTGTAGGTTGAAGTTAAATTTAACAATTCGGACATTTTGTCCGAGGTTGACATATTGATATTCGATACGTCATATTCGTTAAAAATTTCAAACGTTCGATACACATCGAAGCTACCGTGGCCGTAATTTGTACAGCTGTCGCCCGATGGATGGGACTAGACATAAAACCTAGTTCACGTAGCAGATTATTGGTAAATGTATAGATTTTAAGTTATTTATAATGGGATTGAAATTCACGAATTAAAATGCCTAAATAAATAATATTTCCTATGGGGAGGCCTATGTTCAGAAGTGGACTTATGAAGGGCTGGAATGATGATGATGAAAATTATTTGCCTTCAGGATCTTGTTTTAATATTAACTAGCTGTTCCCCGCGACTTCGCCCGCGTGTTAGGATATTTAAGTTTTTGCGCGGAACCCTAATTTTATTTTGAAAAAAGAATTAGGATTCCGCGCAAAAAATTAAAACCCATGCAATCCAATCGTAATAAATTTAGCGCGAGCGAAGTCGCGGGGAACAGTTAGTTTTAATATATATTTATCAAACAATATAGAATAAAAACATTTTAATGGTTTTCATAATTATTACTTTAGGTGGTGGAACTGGAACGTTCGTTTAGAGCCGGTGGCGGCATCAGAGGCAGCTGAACTAAGTAAATAAGTAGATGACTACATATTTGTGCCATTTGCTGTGGAGACTATCGTCCCGTGGGGCGCACGTGCTGTGCTGTATCCGCGACTGGTCGTCGCTGCTGCTGATAAGAGGGCTGGTTCTTTACTTACTCAAAGGCCAAGTATAGTCATTCAGCGAGGAAACGCAGCCAGCGTTCTTGACACGATAACACGGGGAGTAACACTGTATGATAATTGAAGTTATTAGTTTTAGTTTGTTTGTTGTTTATTAGTTTTTTAATATTGTACATTTTTCAACTGGAAGTATATTTATATAATTTAGATTTTACAACCCAAACACAGCACACATAGCAAAATAATGTACGAGTGTTGTGCATAACATCCGCAAAGGCTAGCACATTGTCCTAGGCATCCATATTATGTAAATTTATGTTATTTTATTAAAGTTTTTATAGTTATGCCGTTGATATGTCTGCAAAATAAATAAAGTGACAAATCTACCAAAGAAATACATAATATGTATATACATAATGCAGGAACATTATGAGTTTTCTAGTCATTTTATAACAGTCGTTTTCACTAACCAAAACATAAAACAATAACATTAAAAGTAAAACAAAAATCGCTGAGTCTTCTTTCCTCAAACGCTACAACGACGGGACATTACATAGTTTCATTTATGGCATGTTCTCATACGTTAGATGAAAGTTTTACATTTACTTCAACAATTACAGCCAACAAAAATAGCTTACTTATTTAATAAGAGCGTCCCGACACACGCTCCGCTTACGGTGACGTCTTCGCAGCCATTACTCTGAGACCAATTGTAATAGCAATGACCCTCGAGATAACCTGCTTGCATTAGAAGCACCAAGCAATGCGTGACGTGCGGACGTTCGTAAACGATTGCTTTAAATGCTGTTATAAATTTTAAAGATAGTGTATAAATAATAATTTTAGAACGATATTCTTAGTATTTTTTTAATTAACAAGTTCGTGTGTATGCACATAATTTATAATACAATTCTGCAGTTAATTTTAGGCTCACCAAATGTCGCTAATTGGGAGTGAAATGAACTTATTTGTTAAACAATATCATTATCTATACATCTGTACAAATAAATAAAATTGAAATGTCTGTTTGTAATGTCAAAATTACAGCTTTTTACTAAATGAAAGTATATGCGGTACTTATAACAAAAATACAATTTTTAAAGTTTTTGTCTGTCTGTCCGTCTGTCTGTCTGTGTGTTTGTTCCGGCTAATCTCCGAAACGGCTGGACCGATTTTGACGGGATTTTCACTGTCATATAGCTGATGTCACAAGGAGTAACTTAGGCTACTTTTATTTTAGAAAAAGAATTAGGGTTCCGCGCAAAAAATTAAAATCCCAAATAACACGCGGGCGAAGTCGCGGGGAACAGCTAGTAATTGGTACTTTGAATAATACTAATTGACTTTAAATAAAAAAGTATCTATTAAGACTTTCTTTCTTTTAAATATTTCATGCGCAATCGATTTTACTTTTTTCCTTCAAAGCTAGTCATACATAAAATAGGTACCAATAAAATGTAATAAAATGAAACTTTTTTTAAAATAAAAATGAGACTCATCCGAAGCGCAGCCGAAAACATAGTTAGCCTAGCTCCATTCAATCAAGTTCTAAAACTCAAGAATTTATGAATAATAACCGAATAGTCATTGGATCCAATTTGGCAGCTCAGTTCCGCTTGTAAGCGATTTTTGGTAGAATAAGTTTAGAACCACAATACTGATAACTATTAAAAAGATAAAGTGATACTTATTTTGTTATTTTTTTATAGAACTAGGGTGACAACCGAGCACACAGGACACCTCATGGTAAGTGGATATTGTGGCCCATCGACATCCTTGACTAAGCATCAAAATGCAGATACGTTGTCATCTCTGAGGACTAAGTTGGAATGCCTCGATTTCAGTAAAAAAAGGGTCTCCGATTCTCTACACTCACCATACAAAACATAACGTAAGCATTAAGCTACTATTTTACGCTGGTATTCTGTACAAGCGTGGTCCTATCCCGGTCGAGCCGATGACATGCATGATTTTCGATTTTATTATATAGCCTCATGAGTCATTACACAAGTCAGGTAGTCGGAACTGCAACGGGAAGAGCACACGCACACAGAACATCAAACGCATGCATTAAGCGTGTTGAAAACTGCCCGTCCCCGCTGCATTATGGTGTTTACATTTTTATGAACAAGTTCATTGTTCGTTATTTCAAAACAAGGATCTAACGAAAGCGTTAGATCCTTGTTTTGAAAGTATTAAGATGCTGCCCGATATTTTTATTATTATCTATATTTAGGTATATCTATCTGTTTAAAACCTCCAATATTTCAAATAATTTAAAAAACAAAGAATTAAATTAAATTTTAAATTGTCGCATGAACCATAGAAGTGCCAGATTAAAACATGCTGTATACTCTAAACACAAAAGCTATTCAGGCAGTTAAATGTCTGAAACCTTACCGCGAAGGCGATATTGATAAACATGAATATCTTCTCGGCTGTGCATAGTCCCCTGGCGCACCCCATGGCGGTGAGTGCGTGCACTTCGGTCCGGTCCGCGTCACTAGCACTGCACTGTCACAACATGGGCGCGTAACTGCACACGTGCACTCGGGAGCACGCCGCGTAAGGCACTGGCGCTCGCTGCTCCATCGGCCGCTAATAAAATAGGGATGCGCGTCGCTATCGACGTCCAGTACCGCCACCTAATCCACCCTTTACACAGAAACTATGTCAACTACATCAAGTACACTTACCTCAAAGTTACAGCTGTATTGACGACGTTCCGGGTGTCGTTACCGTCACCAATCCATTACGTTCTTTACGTTGTGGTGTAATATGCCAAAGATTCGTCATCCATAGAAACGCGAAAAGTTATGACAAAACAACACGAGCGCTCGCTATAAATTTCACATTACGCGAGCAACCAATGAAATTATTAATTGCAATTTGAAGTACTTGGCGGTAAAGGAAAACATCGTCAGGAAACCTGCATGTCTGAGAAATTAAAAAAAAATATATTTTGAAAACATCATGTGAAGTGCGCCAACACGTATTGGGGCAGCGCGGCGGATGCTTCCTTGCCCTCACAGAAGTGAGTGGAGGCCGGTGTTTAAGTTGAAGTTGTCAATTGGTATTCATTTACTTTGCCCCACCGGTCTATTCAAAACTAACCAATTAGCATAAGTAATTTTTTATGATCGAATAAAACTGGAAAAATTATTTCTAACATTAGTATAAACTTTACAGTTAGTACGTAAATTATTTAACCTTGAGAAATATTAAAAAAACTAACTGCAAAGAAACCAAAAATGAACTCTCTATACGACACATCGACATCGGCAATTTGCGTGATCATGCCTCACTATGGGGTGAGCTCCGGCCACCCGACCCTCCGCCAATCCCGGATCCCTAGTTCCAGAGACCCAGCACCATTGCTGTATAATTTTCTACATCGTTGCCCTAAAAATTTGTCATATTTGAAAAGCGCGGAAATCTCAAAACTAGCAACTGAGAACAGCAGCGTCTTTCAAAGTTCATGTAATTTGCTTCCATCCCCATCTCTTTCTATGAAATAGTCCGCTGCTGCCCGGCACCAGTCGGACTATTTTACACCAGACGTTCTTCAATCATCGGTTACCTACTTATTAATCTTTTTTTTTTTTATATTGCTTTGTGCGATGTAAGTATCAAAGCTAATGTTTTCTTAAGAAAAAATTATCATTCAACAACAACTACCTATGTATATTACTTTTTTATAGAAAACCTAAGTTGTTTTTTTGTGTTACTTGTCGATAATGACATGGTAAATTAAATGGAAATGTTTTATAAATAAAAATAAGACACTGAAATTCGTCTTAATTTCCTTATTTTGGAGTCATGCAAGAATGGAAATCCCTGCGGACAATGTAAACCGAATTAGAGTTATACTTAATAAACTTAATTGTTACAGTTCACTACAAATGTATTATGCAAAGACATTTAAGCAGTATTAGTAATAGTATACCTATATAGTTAAATCTCTTTGGTATTATGGTTATTATTACATGACAATGTACAGCAGCGGTGCATGTGGCATGTGGCATGTGGCATGTGGCATGTGGGTAGACACGCAAACCGCAGCACTGCCATTATTGTACAATGTACATACATTTGTACAAAATTGTGAATATGTGTTGATTATGTTCCTCAATCGCTTACGTCACTACCAGAGATTGTCAGATTGATATAAATAATATTATTGATACGACATGAGCCAACCTTTTTGTCAGATCTGATCTCTTCTCTGGTAGCTCAGAAGACGAAGATCGAAGACAATACGGGAAACGAAAAATTATAATGGTTTTCCCGTATGACTGCGGAACACTAATTAATTGTTAAAATGGAAGTAGAACTAATACTGTTATTAATCTATACAAATCTATACATCTATACAAATAAAAAAGGGTCTGTTTGTAATGTCAAAATTACAGTTTTTTACTAAATGCATACGAAAGCAAATACGGTACTTATAACTAAAATACAATTTTTTAAATTTTTGTCTGTCTGTCTGTTTGTTCCGGCTAATCTCTGAAACGGCTGGACCGATTTTGACGGGACTTTCACTGACAGGTAGCTAATTTCATAAGAAGTAACTTTGGCTAGTTTTATTTTGGAAAAAAATTAAGGTTTCCGCGCAAAAACATAAAAACACTAACACGCGAGCGAAGTCGCGGGGAACAGCTAGTATTATACTAAAAGTGAAGTAAACGCAATTTCTGCATTCATCCCACAGCCGGGACAGACCTCCTCCTATTTCAGAAAGTTATGGAGCAGAAAAAAATCCGCCGTGTTGCCTTAATTATTTTGGTACACTCGGATCGCGGTTACTTTGACTGGCTGGTCAAATTGGCTTCTAGTAGCTCTAAAAGCTTAGCATGCTCAGTAGAGCGAGACATTATTTCACGCCGGCACACCGCTTGCAAATTTATTAGGCGCAAGTTCGGCCTCAAATGGAATATTGTTCTCATCTCCGACAGCCAGTGACGGCTCCTTATACTTGACCGCATCAAGTGAAAAGCGGTCTGGATCATCGACGACCGAATACTTTCTAACGAGACAGCGAGACAAGTTTGCTTCTTTAGGAAAACATCTCCTCGATATGTATTTATTTTAAACATGCACGGTGTATATACATATTCAAATAATTAACAACTTGCTACGTAAGGACTTGGCTTGAATGTTACCCAAAAAAAAAGCAACGGCAAAAAAGAACCAAAGAGAATCTATACATCATTCATCTCATTGAAGTAATATCAAGGAGGTTATATATATTTTACAATCTCCTTGAGTAATATATATTATGTAGGTAATACTTCTTGTACCTACTATTACTTATTCTGTGGAACTACGTACTAAAACAGACACCGCTAACAAAATCTGTGCGGCAGTGCAGGCCGCGTGAAAAGAGGCACTGAGTATTTTTTTATGACACAGACTGAACAACCAATTCTCGGCTCTTCTATGACTCATATAGTGTTTTCTCCTCACAATGTTTTTCTTCACCACCGTGCACATGGCGAATCAGCATTTATTTTATATATTCTTCTTTGGTTTCTTTATGGTTTTTTTTTAAATCGATTTCAGTGCCTAGAAGACTGCAATGAAGTGGGCGATATGAATGATAAGCCTGTGGAAACTGTCCATGCGATCAGAGCAAAGATCTGCAAGACGCGTCGCAGAAGAACACAAAACTCTCCGATCATACTCTTAATCTCATAGCTGTTAGATGGATAATGAAGTTGCAGTCTTCAGCAGATTTGACAGCCTACATGCAACTGAACAGACAGATCGCGGCTCTTACGCAACTTTAATACAGCTCGTATTGAAGAAGCGATCGAGTGCAACCAGGGCACCTAGGTCTTTGCCAGAGATCTTTCGGCCATAAAGAGCCAACTGTCGAAGCTAAAGACTCAGACTCTTTCAGAAGAGATTGTAATCTGCCACTTTGTTTTGCGTATGTAGATTGTAGACTACGAGAAAGCCTTAGATTTCGTCAGTATTTGGGCGGTGCTGCAGTCCCTTCAGCGGTGCCAAGTTGACTGTCGGTATATCGAAGTGCTGAAGTGGTTGTACAGTAGAGCTGCGATAGCTATCCGAGTACAGAACCAGAGTACAAAACCTATCCAACTGCAGAGAGGTGTAAGACAGGGTGATGTTATATCCCCGAAATTATTTACTACTGGAATGGAATTTGTTGTATTAGAAGATGTTTGACTGGACAAGATACGGTAATAATGTCAATGGCGAGTGTATCACTCTCCTTCGATTTGCCGACGATATAATCCTTATGGCAGAATCGCTGGAGGACTTAAACACTATGCTCAATGACCTCAATAGTGTCTCTCAACGGATAGGTCTTAAGATGAACATGGACAAAACAAAAGTCATGTGTAACGTCCATGTCACACCTATGCCAGTAGTTGTTAGGAGCACTATGCTCGAAGTTGTTGACTAGTATTTTTACCTGGGACAAATGGTCCGACTAGGCAAGTCCAACTTCGACCGAGAGGTCAATCGACTGATTCAACTCGGTTGGCCAAACAAGATTGTACAACTAGAGCGTGTAACCAGTGATGACTTATGGATCTAAGACGTGGTCCTTCCGTGGCCGTAGGAGGCTCAAGGTCACTCAGCGAGCTATGGAGAGGGCTATGCTCGGGGTTTCGCTGCGTGATAGATTTAAAAGCGAGGATATTCGCAGTGGAACCTGAGTGACCGACATAGCCCAACGGATTAGTAAGCTGAAGTACATATAGCCGAAGAACCGAAAACCGTTGGGGAAGATAGGTTCTCAAGCGGCAGCCTCGTATCGGCAGGCGAAGTGTTGTGGTAGTAACTGGCACTTGGAAGGGGAATGATGTCAAGCAAAATTTATATTAAATGACGGATATGCTATCCGTCATTTAATATAAATTTTAGTAGGTATAGATAAAATAAATGTGTCCAAAATTTCACGAGTAGTTCACTCTAGTTACAAGCCTCACGTTAAACGAATTTTGAGGGTCCAATCATATTACATGTCCCCTAAGGCATAGCGAAAAAATTAAATAAAATGGCGGATTAAATGGTATTACGTTTATATGATAAATCAAAACATAGGAGAACATCTGTTACATGGTAGAGCCATGATGCAAATATATATTATATATTATCATATATATATATAATATATATGATAATATATAATATATATTTAATTATAACCCTATATAATATATATATATATATATATATATATATATATATATATATATATATATATATATATATATATATATATATATATTTTATAGGGTTGTAGCACGATATGAATCTGCTCGACCGGGGCAAGACAACGCTCTCACGGAATACAAGCGTAATTTACGAGTAGCATCTTAATGCTGCTGTGTTGTGTAGAGAACCGGAAGCTTTTTTACTGGAAACGAGGCAGAGGGCCAGAGGCCCCGTTTCTGGTAGGCGACCACTGTCATCAAGGGGAAGGCCGT